TTTATATAAGCGTATTCTCGAATATGCTCCTTTTCCAGGTATTTACATTTATTTTTAATGTATTAAAATTTATTAATTTTATAAATTAAAATTTTTTAGTGTTTTTATTTTTACAAAGTAATGTTGTACATGATTGAAATTAAAACAGTACCAAGGAGATATATACATATATAAAATATATAAAGAAATAAGGCTCCTTCATAGCTCCAAAATTCAGCAACCACTATTTATCAATATCTTGTGACTATCTTACAGAAATATTCTATGCAGGTACCAACATATATATCTGTGTTTTAAAAGAAATTTAAAAATTTAAAAATTTTAAAAGAAATCAGAATGAGAAGAGATAGAAGACAGGATGAATAAGTTTCCCAGGAAGATGGTTCCTTCAAACTTAATTTTCTCCAAAAGAGTAATGACATATTTATAATTCTTAAACTTTCTAAGTACAAAGGCAACAAATGGTCTTGAGATTTTTAAATTTTAATTTTAAGGCAAAGGGAACTATTATTAATTGAGGACATACTGTATGCACATTCTGTATGAGGCACTTTATACATGTTAATCTCACTGGCGCTCTCAATGTCATGAAGAATGCATTATTCCCATATTATAAATAAGGAAACTGCATCTCAGAGAGATTAAGCAAAATTTTTAAGGTTTCACACAGCTGGTAAGCAATGGAGCCACAATTAAAACCTAGTTCCGTATGATCCCAACATCTATGTTCATTCTGTGTTTATTCCAGATCCTGCACATTATGGTTAATATTTTGATTATAAATATGGATATGATAGTTGATACGAGCTTAGTGGTTAAAAAAATTCCTAACAGGGATCTCTACCTGAAAATTCACTCTTTTAAAATGTGTGATTAATATTACTGTATTTGACATTATAAAGCCATAAATATTCAGTAGAGGCAAATCCCTTTGAAGAGATTTCCGTAGACTAAAAAGAGCTGTATCCGAGGAGGCCTGCAGATGGCACTGCTGCCCGCGAGTCTCTAAAATCTAACTCACTAATAGCGTTCTTAAAAAATAAATACATATATAAAGAATTACTTTAGGAACTATCCAACACTGATTCCAAAAGTTAAATTTCAACCAATATTTAAGCGATTTATAAATTGTGTAGTTTCTTCCAATTTATAGTTGATATTGACATTTAATTGTCAATGTAATGAGCAGTGAGTGTAACACTCAACAGAATTCCAGCTCAGCAACACTGGAATATAAGTCTGAGTGGCTGAGACACATGAATATCAGTTAAGCTAGGAAAGATAAAGAGATTTGGATTCTTTGCTTAAGCATAAGGTGCTGCCTGACAAACAAAACCACTTAGGAGTCAGAAGACAGATTGAGATTGCTAAGATCTAAAGATGGATGCAGTCCTTAGAATTTCCAAGCTATAAATCAGAAAGGTAATGAAAACACATGAATATAAAAGCCTGAGACTTTGTACATGATGAGCAAGCATGGCAGGTCTTTTATCACCGTATTTTTAGTGTTATCATGAATTTGTAAGAGAAGTTATTGCTAATCCCTAACCCTAGCTAATCATTTAAGTGTTAGAAGACAAAAAGAGAGCTATTTTCTCTTGAGTAGTTAAGAGTCAAAGTTCTGGAGACAGAACACTCCAAGATTTGTATAGGGTTGTATCTAGATAAGATTACAGGGTATCTAAACTTTCTTCATTTATAAATCCTCTATAATAAATAGATATTACTTTTAAATAAGAAATAATAAATATTAAATTAAAAATAACCAAAATTATTGTTCTCATTTCTTCTGTCTCTCACATATTAACACGAACCCTTTTTTGTTTGTTTTAATGCTAGGGATCCCTTGGAGTGAATGGGGGGTGTTTTGAACAGATCCTCGTTCAGTGCTGAGTCATTTATTCCCCCAGCTGCCAGAAATACTGGCTGCATTCCTCTTTAGGAACTGTGCTTGGCTAAAGACAACTGTCTTACCCAAGGTTACATCTACTCCCCAGGATCAGCCCATATCCAGAGACTGGTTTATACTAAGGTACAAAGACCAGCCCCGTTCCTTAATTTGGGACAATTCTGAAAGGTCATCCCTGCTCCAGAGCCCCCTATGGGATCAGCTGAGGCCTCTGTCGCTACTGTATTGCAGTTCAAATTCTTATTCTGCCCCACCCCATCTCCATCACTTTTTTATTTTATTTTTTTATTTATTATTCCAGGGTATTGTGAGGGTACAAACATTATAGTTACACTTTATGTCTTTGCCTCACCCAAATGCGGGTTAAAGCCATGCCCTTCCCTCCCTTTAGTGCTCCCCGTGTCCTTTAGTTGTAGATTTGCCCCCCATCCCCCTAATCCCTAGAGAGTATTTCTGCCATGTGATCAACCTAGTGTTGTGGAGAGACAGGAACACTCTTACACTGCTGGTGGGACTGCAAATCAGTGCAACCTCTGTGGAAAAGAATTTGGAGATACCTCAGAGAGCTAAAAATAGAAATTCCATCACTTTCTTACAAGTGTCAGTCCCAAGTAAATCTCCTAACCACAAATATTCGTCTCAGTATTAGGAGGAACATGACCAAAGATGGTTATAACTAGGAATAGTCCTAGGAAGCTGGCACCAGCTCCCAGCCAAGACAACGTATCTTAAGCAATAGTACTCAATTGTTTCCTGGACTGTACAGATTTTGACAAGAAATCTACCTTCATTCTTACATTTTGTATACGTTTTTTTCTCTGGCCACTTTTAAGATTTTTCTCTTTAGTTTTCAGCAACTTGATTATACGTGCCTTGGTGTGGTTTTACATTTCTTTTGCTTGAGGTTACTTGAGCTTCTGTGGGTTTGTGCTCTTCATCACATCTAGAAAAAAATTAGCCATTATTTACCTCCTTTGTTTTCTTTTTCACAGGGATCATAGCCCTCTATTACCTGTAATCCAATGTCTGAAAATACTTGTTTAGTATATTTTGTCTGGTTTTCTAGCTACTTATAGCAGAAAGGACAATTCAGAGGTCAACTAATGTATGTGAAGCTAGGCTTTCACACAAAATTTTTTTTTTATAATGAGCAAAAGTCAACACTGTTTTGTCTTAAACATTCTGTGTTTCTTCAGTACACATTCTGAGAGGTTTTCAGAAGAGATAAAAACAACTAAGATGCACTTTTTTCTCAGTTCTGAAAAAATAAAAGATTCTTAATAAAAGTTAATTCTGAGTTAATTATTCTGAGTTGCCTCAGAATACTTTATTGTATTTAGAACTATTAAATTTATTTGGATGAACTGACCTTCCATTTTAGTTTAATATTAAAATTAGCTATCCTTCATTTCTTTCCCATAAATGTTTCAACAATAACACCACATACACCTGTGCATATGTACACACACACATCAGCTTTGAAGTCAAAGGGTGATATATTTGTTGGTGTTACAGATTACCAGGGTATAAAATTCCAGAACTATCTTTAATCCATCAAACATGAGGTCAAAAATTTACCACTGATAGATTAGAAAATATATTGTAAGATACTAGAAATTTGATAGCAAAGGAATTTTAATGAGATCTTAAGTTCAATATAAAGCAAGAAGAAAGGATTTAAAAATTGAGCATAGGCTTGCTAAGTTCAAGACTACCACAGTAACTTCATTCGGTAGATACTCGTATTTTATAGTTGAGGAGACTCAGAGTTTAAGTTTCTCCAGAACAGAAAGGTGAGTCAGTGGGAAATTCCATGTATTTTCCACTACTAAATGCCACATAACTATTTGGACAATGTGGGGAGGGAGAGTGGGTCTACATGATACCAATTACCACTAGATATTGGGGATAGAAGGCAATGATTTCTACGATCAGAACTATAATTTATAAAACAACCAGACATCATTTGATCTTGTGGAACCCGTGCATTCCCAGTTAGACTATTTCACACCTCTTTAAATATACATCCTTCCCACTGCCCCTCTACTCTCAGCAGTTGAATTTATTTCCTAAGGAAGCAAAAGCAATCAGAATAATTTCTACATGCAACTAACACTGAATCTACCAATCAAACCATCTGTATCTGAACTTAAATATTCTTACTTTCTTTCTGTTACAAGGTAATCAGTCCATGTTCCAGCCTAGGCTAAGCCCTCTATACTTGTGCACTGGATCCCATATGCTTTCAGATTCAAGCATATTATTTCTGAAGATATCTACTCCTTCCTTCCTCATCAAACTTTCCCTCTCTACTAGATCAAACATTTTCAACCACTGTGTATAATAAGAACCTTTGTTTCATTAACTTAAAATAGCTTAGTAAGATTCATCAATTGTTCATAATTTGTTTTGGCTCATGTCTGCCCAAAGCATTTGAGAGGACTACCTTTTTGCTAAGTTCTCTTCTAGTGCTATAATTCCACATGATTCTAGTTAGTAATAATAGCTAATATTTAGAGTGCTTATTCTATGTTAGACACCGTGCTAAACACTTTACATGCATTATCATACTTAATCCTCACAACGATCCAAAAAGAGAGGTACTACTATAATCTTCATTTTACAGATAAGAAAACTGGGGCTTAGAGAAGTTAACTTGTCTGAGGTTACTAAATAGTTGATAGCACGAAAGGATTCAAACCTGACTTCAGAGTTCATGTTATTAGCGTTAAACCATGTATTTTGTAATCTCAATTGTATGTACACTAATGAAAATGAAAGTTTACATCTTTATAATATTTATATATTTAATGTCAATAAATACAAAAGCAAAATTAAATTGTTACAAACTCACAGTAATTTTTATCTCAATTTGTAACATAATTCACATTATCACATACTTTTAAACAGGAAAAGTTTTAGCTTACAAACACCTTGGAAAGAATTCTAATTTGGCTCAATAATTTTACAGCCAGGGTTTCTGGGCTAAAGGTATAGTTATAATTTCTGTCCAAGTTTTCAATAAAAAGTAGTAATGTTAAATGGAATATATCATTTTATAGATAGTATGAAATTACATTGAGAAAACAGAAGTCATTAAACATTAAGAGTCTATTACATCCCAGGCATTATATATTTCTTTACACTTAAGGAATAGATATTTAAAAAATCTTGGAATAAAAAATGGAAGACAACTTTCTTCAAGTTTGTAACAAATAAATCAAGCAGAAATATGGAGAACCTTGTGTTAAGATGAGAGGCATTTATACTTGGCATTTTCTTCCAATGAATACAAAGTGAGTGTGCTCCCATCTTGACATTTATTTGAATGTTTATAAAAAAGCATTTAAGGCACTGATTCTCAAAGTTGGCTGAATATTAGACATCACCTAGAGAATTAAAAAAAATACTGATGCCTATATAACACCCCTAAAATTCAGATTTAATTGGTATAAGGTAGGCCCTGGGCATACAAATGTTTAAAACTACCCACATGATTCTAATGAATACCAGCTTAAAAACGGCTAGCTTACAGAACTATTCCATAATCATAGAAGTCAGTCTTCAGCTGAAGGATTCCATATACCTTGACTTCACTGAGTATATTTTTATTTTAAGCATCTGATAGGTTATCTCCCTCGATTAGAAAATAAATACCTCAAGGGAGGATATTTTGTTTTATTCATCATTATTTCCACATATCTGGAACAATGAAAGCACATAGCAGTTGCTAAATAAATCTTTTAAACGAATACATGATTGCCTTATACTTCCTTTAAATCACCACCTTCTAGTAGATTATGAAAATAAGAATTCAAAATACATTGAACAAATGACTAAAGCAGTCAGGATAATGTTTAAGGCAAAACCAAAATGTTATAATATATATAAATGTTTTAAAAATACATACATATATATAAATAGGTCAAAAGTAGAAAAAGAATATACAAAAGAGTGCAACATTTAGCAATTGAGAATTAATTCATTGAGCTTTCATATAGTCTTCACATTCTTAAACTTAGAAACAAAGAAGTAACCCTAAACAACTAGTTCTTCAGCTAATTATCTATGGACTTATATATAGTTTTTCTTTTAAGAACAGAATTACAGCTTAATCTTGATGGACACAGCTCAGTTTTCAAAATTCAAGTAAATACAATTTTAGTACACATCATGATACCTTTTCCTGATAGTTGTATTAAAAACTAACGATTGTTCCTGGTTAAAATATTTGGTATCACCTATTGTTAGGTGCTGTCAGTTGAGAACTAGTAGTTTCTTAGCAATCTCATATTGATAAACAACTATTTTGGCACCTCCCTGCATAATGTGTTTATTTAGGAAGTCCCTATTAGTAACAGACTTCCTTTTTAGTAGGTAGGTTCTCAGATATGGCTTCATATATCAAAGTTCCACAAGTTACATAATTTTTAATTCAGTTAGTATCTCAGACTGCGAAACTTTGGTTTTTTTAAAATCAGCATTGGTTGCTTGATTGTAGGTTTGTCACCAAAAAGTGTTGCTTCGCTTTCTGTGGTTGGAAATCTTTTCTGATATATCAAGGGATATTCCTTCTGAAACTGAAAAACGAGGCAAAGAATTAGAGGGTATTTAACATTATCTCCCTAGCTGAAGTCAGTGCTTAACATTTTATAAGAATTCAGTGCCTTCTCAAAGAATTATTATAGAAATGAAAATCCTTTCATTTTGCCCTCGCCTCTCCCTCTCTTTTCTCTTATGTGAAAGGTATTTAATACACTATAAGATCTCTTAGATCCTATTTAGCATTACCATTCTAGGAGTCTCCTCTGTTGCTAATTCTCCCCCTAATTTCCAGATCTTTTTCTTTCCCATTGGTAAAGTCTATGAAGGTTGCGAGGATGTAGTATAATTCATATCTGAGTGCCTCAGACTTGGAATTGGACTTGCCAGATCTTGTGGATGCTGGGTTTTTAGAGCTAAAAATTCTAAAGGATAGTGAAAAGCCAAAGATATGTATTATAATCCAGATTTTATAATTGCTTCCCCAGGCTAATCCAAGCTATAATTACACAAAACACCAGTAACAATGGAGAGTTATCTATTATTATTTTAAAATTCAGGATGAGTAAAATCAAGTAGGCACTCAAGTATTTTTGTAGTTTAATGTACATATACAATGCAGCAAAATATATAGCCTATATATCAAAAATATTAAAAGAATTAGATTCTAAATGTTATTAAAAAACGACCAGTAACAGCATATTAGAAAATATTTACATGATTGAAAACTTGTTCACTCTCTTACCTGTTTTAGTTTTCTTCTTTTCTCCTTTAGGGGTAAACTCTTATTTTTAATAATAGTCTCTAAAAGTTCTGCAATTGCAGCTTGAGAGGTAGAAACTTTTTGTTCATCAAACTCCTGAGCGCTAATCTGCTTACAGTATGAATAAATTGGCAGAGGAGCAATTTCTTCATCTCCAGGATTTTTAATCTGTAGTGAACAAAATGATACAAGTTTGTTAATTCTGGTTATGTTCTTATTAAATACACGGTAAAGTGTTTTTTGAATAGATATACTACCTATTATTTTGCTATGAATCAAACAGTCAACACATTGAGAAAACTATGTGTTATGCAGGAGTAGTGATGAGTCAGTAAGCTCTAAATCCTAACTCTACACCTACTAGCTTTGTAGCCTTCAGCAAGTTATTTTATTCTTTTAACTGTAAAATAACAATCTAAGTGATATTTTAATTCATCTTAAAATACTAATGTTCTGAATTAATGTCCTATTTTTTTTTTTTACCAGATGATCAGCATATTTACTGAATTGAAATACTTTTAGTTTTCACATCCTGTTTTCGAGGCCTAGAGGCATGGGCAAAGCCTATAACATCTGTTGATAAGAAAGAAATTGGGGATAAATAGGGAATAGTTTAAATTATGATAAACCAGGGCAATATTAGAATGGTATGTATAAGAAAAACATGAATACATTTGTTGGGCAGCCAAAGACTGAATATAGCAGTTATTTCTTGTTCTGGCTGCTGAGTATTCCTTCTCCCCTTCTTCTAACAGTCCCTTCCCATTTTACCCTCTGTACTCTCACCTTTTTTGAAGAACAAATTCTCCTCTAATCTATGCAGAACCAGAGTATGATCCTCCCTCCATTCTACTCACTCTCAACCTCCCAAAGGATGCCCATTTAACCTTGACTGGGCCAGTCAAGAGTCCATACCCGGAACTTTTCAAATTAGAGGTGAAGGGATAGCCCTTTCCTTTGAATTGCAAATTTAAGGCTGTGATTCCTCATCATGTGAAGGAGCCACTGTCAAATACAGGACCAAAACAGAAATAAGAGATGGAGGGATAGAAATAGAGTCCTATCGCTATTTAAGTCCCATATTCTGTCTATATTCCTGACTTTTAGAGGTTGTTTATATGAGCTGATACAGTCTCCCTTTTTGATTAAGCTAGTTTGAGATGAGTTTGCCACTTGCAACTGACTAATGCAGAGAACTTTAAGACTCACAATACTTACATGTCCTTTTTTTAAGTAGTCAAGATGTTTCTCCACAGCAGTCTGTAAGTAAGAGGGTACTTGAAGAATTTCCTGATGATGATCCATTAAGAAAGAAACTAATCTTGCAGCAAGAAGCTCATCAAGATCCACTTCTTCGGCACAGCATAGCACACACCGAGAAAAAGTATGTATCATCTAGAAACATATTGAAAGATGTGAATTTAAAAACCTAAGGTTTCATATATATTAGAATATCAGTAATTTTCAGGTGGCATTATATGAAGTATTGAGATAAAATGATAAGCAGACTTCAGCTTAAAAATGAGGACAATAATATATATAATTAGGAAGGTAAGAATTCTATTATGTTTAAGTCTGTTTTTAAAGTATTTCCTTAATACAATTCTAAAGGGTTAAAAAAGGCTTAGGTTTTTCTTTAATTTTGCCACAATTTTATCAGTTAACACCAGAGGTTCTATTAATACCATATAGATACATTCCTTAAGCTTAAAGATTGTCAGATCACAATAACTTATTATGTTAAATGAATGCCATAAAAACACAAACCTGGAGAATATATAACATATAGAACACCTATATTCATAAGTGGTTGCAAAGTTGGCAACATTATCTTTTGAAACTTAGGAAGGCAGTTTTTAATGCTTATTCTACTAATCTTTAAATAGCAATTTAATACAGATTTTTTAATTCCATTATAATAAATCTTCAAATCTTGGGATAAATTTTGTGTTTTAAAACTCATTACTCTCATTCATATCCATATAACCCACTAACTATAACACATACACTCCTCATTCTAAAATAATTAGAATATCAGAATACTGTTTTAAGTATTTTGCACATAATAGATGATCAAAATATTTACTGAATTGAAATATTTTTAGTTTTATTCTTACATGTCAGTCAGGTTTTCCTAACTCCTTCTAAGGCTCAGTCCTCAGTGTTTTGCTTTTGTTCTACATTCTTACCCTCATAGAGCTCATCTACTCTCAGAGCTTTAACTATCATCTCCATGTGCATGACTCAAAAAATTAGCCTTCTGTCCTGACCTTTCTTCACCAGGCTCACATTTCCAACATTCTGTTGGATAAATTTCACCTGGATGTCCTATAACTTCAAACCCCAAAGGACAAAATGAAAATTATCACCTTCCCACTCTTGTCTCTCAAAACATCTTCCCCTCCAAATTTCCTATGTTTTTTAATAGTGTCATAATAACTGAAGAGTAATTCTTTTTTATGTTGTCTGTCATTCTTAAAGAACTTTCCTTAATAATGAGTAGAAGAAGAAAGCACAGCTCCAGGTTCTTTCCTATAAGAACCTCTTGTAAATTAAAGTTGAGACTGCTTGGCAATAGAGCCTCCTAACTTCTTGCCCACAATGACCTACTTTCCCACGACCATACTCTCTGAGACATTCTGATTTACTGTAGTATGTCCCATTAGTTCTCTACTTCTGTGGTTATAGTGCCCTTAAGCTTTCAACATACCTACATCTCCTTTTCCTTCCCCACCATACAGAATTGGCACAAGGCAACATAATACAGTCTGATTATCTGGTCAATCACTGAAGTGACGCAGGATGAGTGAGGAGGCAAAGTCTTCAGTTAAGATTAACACCAAGAAGTGAAAATATAACAGATTGCACACAAAGGATTAATATACCGAACATTCTGCTGCTAGGAAAAGTTAGAACTTAAGGAGTCTTTCTAATCCAAGAATCTAGGACTTCAAGACCAAGACACCATTTGGGTAGTACTTTTATATAGTTTAGTTTTCCTTCTTTGGTTTATGAACCACAGCTTATTCTTTCATAAGAAATCAACTTACCAGTGCTCTTGTACCCATTGCATCATGAAGTTTAGGCATATCAACATTTTGACTCATTTGGGAAATCATACGCATTAAAAGTTGAAGCTTTCTACGATTTGGTGGGGGGAGTAACAAACAACATAACTGTAGTGCATCGATGGCAACCCTCTCTAAATGTGGTTGCAGCAAACCTAGAAGGCAAAGTTCCCCCCACAAAAAAATCATCAATGATACAAGTTGCTTTCATAATACCAGTATATACAGTTACATAAAAAAGTAAAATAGTATTTAAGTATTTCTAGAAATTTCTAAATTCCTCAAAAGCACAGTAAGATCTCATTATTTTCTTTACAACCTATTTCTAAGTATTAAAATCCTTCACTTATTACAACTAAAGTGACTCAGAATAAGTGAAACTGGAGGAAAAGAAAAGTGCTTTAGGTAAGTAGAATAAATCTTAGTTATGCCATGACAAAAGTCTTGTACAATAATTCCTCTTGGAGGAAAATAATTAAGCAATTTTGGAGAAGAAAAGCCAGATAAGCAAAACACAGAGTTAGTAAACACTAAAATTAATATTGCATGCATTGAAAGCAACAACCTTACTTTGTGTGCCAGTCAACATAGAAGAAGCTGGAGGTAAAGAATTTTCTGTAAGTTCTATTGTACTTTTGCAGAGTCTTTTATTGATTGTGGTACTAGACTCTCCGAGTTCACTTCCCATAGCTGTTTGTACACTTGTGCTGCCTTGTCCAAGATTTGGTTTCATGATAATTTCAGCCACTGGTGTATTGATATAACTATTCCTTCTTGTACTACTTCTTAAAAGCAAACTCTGAGACCTACAAAGCTGTTTTGACTTGCATTTCCCATTATATAACTCCTCTTGGTCTTGAACAGTCAAAGTAGAGGTTCTCTTAAAACCAACACTGAATGGCTTTTGATTACTTTTCTGTGAATGAAGATTCAATAGGAATTCCTGTTTGGACTCAGATTGTAAAAATTGTTTATTATTTCGTCCTTCTATGTTCAGAACAGATTGATGGAAGACACTGGACGTCTCTTTACTTGAATTCCCTGGCATATCTACAATTCCTTCCAAAGAATAGCACCTTGGTTTGATGTTAGAGGATAGAACATGCATACTACGTAAGCCTATTAAATTATGACAACTTCCTCCCATTATGTCATTAGCACTCCCTCTTCTGTTTTTTAAATTAACTAGCTGCATTTTCTTAGCACATCTTTCTTGAAATCCTTGATCATTTATCTGTAGTCTCTCAGTAGAATCTGATTCTTCTTTGTTTTTGTCTTTATGAAGCAGACTAAGAAGAAGACACTCAGTTGATTTGAAGGAATTCAAATTGTTTAAGTGAAGGGTTTTTGAAGACTGTGGATGGTCTTGGATTTTATGTATCCCACTGGGTCTATCTGAAACTGTGATGTAGCCACAAACAACTACCAGGAAATGAAACAAAAATTAAGATGCAACTGTATGACAGTGGACAAAAATAAAACAACAACAATAGTAAAGTTAAAAAATAAAGCATCACTATAGTATATATTGTTAGTATAGTACAAATAGCAGTTGCTTAATTCAGAAGCCACTTAAATAGGATACATGCAACATTCGGTTACAAACGTGCAAGACTGATTGGTGGTTTTCCCACTTGTGATATAAATGACTTAAAAACAATTATTTCAACAGACTAATTAAATGGATTGAGCCAGAATACATTTAAAGATATCTGTTCTCGGTCTGTAAGTACCAGAAACCTATTATAAGACAACTTTGGTATAATAAAATATACATATTTGGTCTTTGTGCTTGGTTCCTGGTATGGAGTTCCTAAGACCCTCGGAATTTCCTAATGATGAAAGTCTTTTGTTATTCATAACAAGCCTATTTGAGCACACCTGAATTTAAGCTAAGTGACTCATGGCTGGCCATGCTTAGAGGGTTGGAACTTTCATCCCTACCTACAACCTCCTGAGAGGGGAAGGGGCTGAAGATTAAGCTCAATCAACAATGGCCAGTGATTTAATCAATCGTGCCTAAAATGAAACTTCAATTAAAACTCTGAAACAAGCAGGCTAGGGAGCTTCTGGGTTGGTGAACACATGGATATACAGGGAAGGTGCTGTGCCTGGAGAAGGCATGGGAATCCTGTCACCCCCTACCTCCACACCTTGCCCTGTGCATCTCTTCCATTTGGCTATTCTTGAGTTCTATTCTTTATAATAAACCGATAATCATAAATAAAGCACTTTTCTTAGTTATATGAGTCAATGTAGTGAATTATTGAACTTGAGAGAGGATCAAAAGAATCCCTGAATTAGTAGTTGGCTAAGCAGAAATGCGAGTAGTTTGGGAACCTCATTTGCGTCTGGCCACTGAAGTGAGGGCAGTCTTATGGAACTGAGCCCTTAACTTGTGGGGTCTGGCCTATATTTAGGTAGTTAGTGTCAGAATTGAATTGAATTGTAGGACATTCAATTGGTATCAGGAAGAACTGGTATTGGAAACATTTGAATCATTGAAAAATGACATAACAGCAACCATAGTATCACTGAATTTTGAAATAATTTATGGCCTGCCACCTTCATATATACTTATGCTTTTAGATCTTTTAAGTTATGAGAAACTTGAAAACTTTAATAAATTTAAATAATTAAAATCCATACATACCCAAAATGTTCACAAATAATTCGTAATAT